AGTAACAACCACGTTGAAAAATCGGTGTTCATCTGGCCAGGCTACGGCGAAGCTGCTGCCTTGTAGTTGGATGTTGGTTTATCAAAGGCTAGGGAAAGAAAACCTTGACCACAAATCACCCGGTCCTCCAGGTTGGGGGTTGAGACTCAGGCAGGGTTTGCAGTTCAGTCAAAAACTATGCAATAAATCTCACAATTCAGCCTCGGAATCTTATTGATCAGACCAAACGACGACGACCCATGCAAACAATACCGGACATGAACTGTGGAACATGGAACATTCATCGCTCAAAAAACAAACTAAATGACGTCTTATGGGAGATTCAAATAAGACACATTTGGATATAGCTGTATTAACGGAAACCAAGAAGAAAGGCTCAGGAATAGAAAAAGTAGGAGAATACTTACACATTTACAGTGGCGTTCCCAAAGAAGAACGAGCCGCAAAGGGGGTATCCATTGTAATAAAAAACAGCTATGAACCGAAAATCACCAATTGGGAACCAAACACTGAACGCATTATGATGGCAAATATCAGCCACCGAGGGCACGAAAGATTATTGTGCCCCTATTAATGTCGCAGCTGCCATAATAAAAAATAACTTTTTTGACTCTCTTAACAATACCCTGAGAACAATTGGCGACCAAAGGGAGATTATACTCATGAAAGACTCAAACATTAGGACTGGCAACAAGGGACAGCACCCTGTCGTAGGAAAATTTGGAGAAAATGTTCTCAATGACATCGGAGAAAGGCTAATAGAATGTTGTCAACAACACAACCTAAAAATTTTGAATGGTTTCTTCCAACATAACGACATCCATCGCTTCACTTGGCATCAGGAAACAAGGCAACTACGATCAATAATTAACTATGTTATTTTGCGTCTGGACTCCAAAGTGATATGGCAAGATGTTAGAGCATTGCGTGGAAGTGAGTGTGAAAGCGATCATTTCCTAGTCAAAGCATATATTAAAATCCCCTATAAAAAAACAAACAATACAAGACTAAATGACGGTTCAACAAGCTTCGATACTGACCGAAGAAAAAGAACTTGAAGAAGAAAAAGCAAAGAAACGAGAGTTCTATCGAAAATGGCTCAGTACAGGTACACAGGAAGACCGAGAATCCTATAAAAGAGAGTTAGCTTCTTTAAAGCGACTTCGCACAAAAGAAAAGAACGAATGTTGGGAAAAAAAGTGCAGTGACATAAATGCCATTATTGGGGGCACAAGATCAACAGAGTCATGGCGGGCTATAAGCTCCTTAAAATCAAACCACAAGACCAAAGTAAATCTTCCAATAATTAGCTTGAAAAAATGGAAAGGACACTATGGAAAGGAACTTAAAGAGGAGAGGCTAGAATACATAACCCTATCTCCGAGAGCTAACAACGTTCAGGTAATGCGCCGATCGAAATAACCAGTTAAATGATCGACAAAGCTCTAAACTCTGAAATGGGGATTACATATCAACATGAGCAGAACAAAATATATTTATGTGGTAGGAGACCCAGAAGATCTCACACTAGATAACAATTCAGCTATACAAGGTTGCGAGGAATATACATATCTTGGAGCATGGGAAGAAGTGAAAAAGAAATAGCAGAAAGAATAACAAAAGGCAAGAAAGCAATTGGGGCAATAAACTCTATAATGTGGTCGAAAAATATCACGCCCAACATTAAATCCCTAATATATATTGCTATTGTGGAGAGCATAATGTTATACGGATGCGAAGTGTGGTAACTTAACCGACAACAACAGAACAGACTGCTATCCACCGAAATGGATTTTTGGCGTAGGTCAGCAAGAATGTTTTGACTGAAATATGTGAGAAATGATGGAGTTCGCCAGAAATAAAAAATGTTACATGAAACGTTGAAGACAGACAGTTGAAATGGTATACGGTTACGTCCAAAGAATGTCACCACTTATCGTGAAATATATTTCTCCTAGGTACCTATTTGTAGATAATTTTTTAAAGAGTAGGTAAGTATTATTCTTCTGCGGACAATTGCATGTTTCTGTATAGTGTTAAAAATAATTATAATTTAGTCTCTTACTAATAAAACACTAGGTAGGTACCGTAGGTATGTATCTACAATGAAGGATTGGTAAGAATCTCACTCCCGAGACACGATTACACACCACTCACGAACGCTATGCTTGGCGGATTTTACTTAGAACAAGGAAGGAAATTTGAAAATTTCGCCATGGCGATTGAATTTTGTTTCTCTAGTCGTCTGAGAAAGTTAACCATCAAGAGGAATGCAAAGAATACTATGAAAGATAAGGAAAAGATGATTACCTAATATTAATGGTTTTAAGGGGATTGAATGCGCCTCGATGCCAAAATATTTTTTCCTGCGCGAAGCACCTAACGCAGTCTATCATTGTATTCTTCCCCCCCTATTAATACTCCTTAGTGGGAATGAGATGAATGAAACAAGGAATGCATTGCGTTCTTAGCTTCAACGTAACTTTTTAGCAGTTGAAGTTAGGTATATCAAATTTCTTTTTTGCGTTCGATTTATAATATAGGGAAGAATGGCGCTATCTTTTTAGAAATCCGGTAATAGAAACGAGTTCTCGAAAAATTACAAAAATGTAATTTAAACTGGAAAAAAACGAGAAAATTAATCAGTTTATGGTGTCTTTTTTATTTAGCGCCAATCTTATGTGTGTTAGCAATACAATAGCACAAACCAGAATCCCAAAAATCATCTAGTTTTTTTTGTAGAAATTAACTTAATTCTTCTTGTCATTTTGCCTGTCTCTGTTATACCCGCAGGAAACCCTATGGCTCTTTCCTCCGCCTGATTTGCGATAAATTTTAAATCGCTATCATGAAGGATCCAAGGCCAACCGGCCCAACAGTAGCCCAATGTAATAATCGCGATGAACCTCGCATCTTTAGTAGAACTAACTTGTTGGGAGTCGTATAGTTCGACGTGCGTTACAATATATTTTAAACGGCGCATTCAATACCCTTAATAAATATACATCAGGGCAGGGATATCTTTGTTAAAATTTGTTTTTCAAAATTGTGGACGAAGCACATATTATGCCAATTTGGATGTAGGTAACTTTAGGAGGAAGTAATTTATACGATCTACAAAAAGAATTTAGTTCAGTAAGTTCAGGCAAAAGTACATGCAATCCGAACCAACACCTACAATAAGTACAAGGACTCGATACTCTCAAGTCACAATAATTAATCATTTTCAATCAGAAAGTATAGAGTCCGTCCATGAACTACAGCAGCACCCTCTTTCGACAGCAACGTAAGTTCTTGTATTAGGTATGACAAGTGCTTGATTCCATTTACAAACTTTTTATTATCATTAATTCAGGCTATTGCGCATACCCAGTACATGTCATGCCTTTACCCAGGAACAGTTTCACAAATTGTTGTGTTGTTAACTGGAGAAAAATTCACAGAGCCCTTCTTACATACCAACTATATTTCCCAATGTTATATTTGAAATAACTAGCTATAAATTGATCATTGTTGCACAGCTTAATGTTTCCATAGATTTATAAATCAACATCTGATGGAAACGCAGAGCAAATGACTAAAAGGTTCCAAGGATCTTTGAGTCGCCAGAATGCTAAATCAGCGTCCGCATCTGTTATTACAGAAGTTATAACTATTGATGAGCACTGCAGCACTGTTGATTCAGTAATGCCTACAAAAGCAGCAATTTCTACACAAGTTGACTTTGGATGCAACAATCCTTCTTTTGCGTTCTATTCTGACCATGACAAAAATTCAGTTGGAACTTATTGCAACATAATTCCTATAAGCAAATTTATTCAGTTTGCAGACAGGTGCGTGGGGCCAGAATGTTCAGAAGAAACCCAGAACAATTTCTATGGAGCTTCTTCTATAACCTGATTTTCTCGTTCATGGAGCATGTCTTGCATGGAAATAATCTTATAATCTACTCTGTGCGAAAAATAGACTTTTTGTTTTTCTAATGATGAAGTTTGGAATATCCTACATTGCATTGAGTGTCTTGTTTGGGGTGTCAAGAAATACAATTCGAAGAACATTTACTTCAGTGCTAGAAGAATTGTCCAAAAAATTAAATGTTTTTTTGGCCATCAAGACAAGCCATAAATCAGCGTATACCAGAAGCATTTGAGCAGTTTCCAACTTGTATGGAGGGTCATTATTGACTGATGATAGAATATTTACGTTTTCTAATTATAAAGGAGGGTTTACTGCAAATTTTTTAATTGGTATAACACCAAATGGATTTGTTTCTTTCATATCTAAGTGTTATGGGGGCGAGAAACGAAACCTTACCTACATCACTAACGACAGCAAAATTTTATCATTGCTAGAGCCGGGTGATCAAATTCTTGTTGACAACGGTTTTGATGGTGTTCTTTGTGAAAAAAAAAATACTGTAGGCTTGCTTTTTTGCAGTTCGCCACTGCACCTTTCCACTCGTTTGCAGAGCTTGTTTTGGACGGGGCGTATTCATCATTCACGTATTTATGTGACCAAAGCACTAATATGCTTGCAAAAACCACAAACTCCAGCAACGCAATTGCATTCAGCATCTACCACCTCTCGCTCCTTATTCAACTGTGAATTGTAATTGATAAACTCGCCTCAAGGTTTACAGGAAGTAGCTATTATTATACCTACCTGTAGCTCAACAGCTGTTTATGGAAGTTTGGCGCATAATATGCCGTTTCAAAGAGGACAGGTCCCCTCCAACTTTTCGTTCCACTACTTGCAATACATGTTCAGCTTTCACTAGAGCCACACCTTTTTTGTATGCAGCTTCAAGGTGGTTAAATTTTATATTTTGGAAACCAAAATGTATTTCCAGCTCCATTTTTTGAAATTCTAGTGAAAAACTATAATAATACAAAAACTTTTGATATCTCCCACTCGGGGTCGCGGATTCAAATTTCTGAACGGTCCCTATATTTGAGTTTAGTTTAAATTCTACCTCACAGCTACCTTGCCCCACCAGAAAAAAAAATATGACACATAAAGTATTTGTCAAAAGGTTCTGTGGTCAAAAGATTGTGATTTAAAACTTTTAAAATGAGCATTTTTTTACGGCGTCGCCCATTTATCAGCTGTACAACAAATAATTTGGTATGAAAATTGAATTTTATTTGCAACAAAAAGTTGATAGTATTTTTTAGCTAAAACGTTGGCCATTAGACCAAGGTGTTGCTAAAGCCAACGCTTCAAAAGCAAAAGCTGAGCCTGAGGCACAAAAGCCAAAAAAATTGAAAACTTTTAGAATCTATCGCTATAATCCAGAGAGTAAGCTGCACGGCAAGAAGCCTTACATGCAAGAATACACTTTTGACGCAAATGAGTAATCGGGGATGAGGGATATCTTCAATCAACTTACAGGTAAAATATTTCGTTTCTAGATGTGGTCCAATGATACTGCATGCCTTAGAAAAAATCAAAACCGAACAAGATAGCAGTCTCACGTACCGAAAATCTTGCAGAGAAGGCATTTGCGGCTCTTGCGGAATGAACGTAAATGGCCAAAACAAGTTAGCTTGCACAGCGTAAAGATAGTATTTTCCATTTGAATGAAAAGTAAGAGTGTTTTTTACAGGACAATCCCCTCGTCTTTCAAAACCGTAATCTACCCGTTACCTCACATGTACGTGATCAAAGACCTAATAGTGGATTTCACACATTTCCTGGAACAACACAAACGCATACACCCGTATTTGGTGCGCCATGGCGATAACTTTGAAGAAGGCCAAGAATATTACCTGCAAAGTATAAAAGATCGCGAAAAATTGGACGGTTTTATTGAATGTATCTTATGCGCTTGTTGCTCCACTTCCTGTCCAGAATACTGGTGGCACGGACACAAAAAAGATCCTCAGGACTTTTTAGGACCCGCTGCACTTTTGAACATGTACAGATGGCTCATAGACTCAAGAGATCAAGGAACAGGCAAAAGATTGGATCAGTTGAGGAATTATTTTTCACTTTTCAGATGCACGCAGATCAATAATTGTACAAAATGTTGTCCAAAGGTGAGTATTGGCTACGATAGCAGAGCTAGTTACAAAGCGGTTATACTTTATGGGAGAGATTGATAAATCAATCAGATGCCTATGATCTGTACCATAGGCGTTTCTTTTTCAACCGAGATATAATCCAATTGACCTTTATCCAATAATGACATAATAATGATACTATTGCTCTGATTTTAAATGACTAATGTACAATGTGGCCTATACTCATTCAGTGAGTTATGACCACTATAATACACAACCTGATATACAGGATGTCCCCGTTCAACTGATCAAAAATGCTAGGGTACATGGAGAAACCATAGAGAAGTAGTTTGAGATAAGATACCGATGGTCGGAAGTGCGTCGTTTTCAAAGTACAGGGTGTTGAAATTTAAACGACTCCCTTTCATATTATCGAAAGGGTTAATGCTAGGCTGTTGAAATTTTCAAAGATTATTGATTTAGGAATGATATTTAAGATTTCGTATAATGCACCCCCATTTTCTACCTGGAACCACCCCAAAAAAAAAATTACACAAATTGCTTTTTTTTCAAATTTTATTTTTTATTTTTTTTGGGTTGGTTCGGGGTAGAAAATGGGGGTGCATTATACGAATTTTCAAATACCATTCTTACATCAATAATCCCTGAAAATTTGAACAGCCTAGCATTACCCCTTCAGATGACAAGAAAGGGGGTTGTTTAAATTTCAATACCCTGTATTTTGGAAACGACGCACTTCCGACCATCGGTGTCCCATCCCAAACTACTTCTCTATGGTTCCTCTCTAGGTATATGTATACCCCATAGCCCGGAGGATAACGGAAACTATGTGGCTATTAGGTAGACAAGCATGAAATTTGGCACCCACATTCTTGAGGCGATTTTAAGAGACTTCAGTCGATTCTCTAAAAAATTCCTCTATAGGGTGGGGCGTTTCCGCCATTTTTTCAAAATGGCCGACTCCATTTTTTGAAATATCGTAAAATCGCTTATTTTTCAAAAAAAAAAACCATTAGGAATATTCTTCAACTTTAAATAAAACTTATAAAAATTTCACACCTATAAAAAATGGCGTCCGGCGACTCAGTAGCTCTTATTCAAGATGGCTGCCAACTTACATAAAAATCTAAACCAGACAACCAACCATAACTTGTGATACCTCGATTTCGACTAATTTTGAGTCGAGAAATCCATTCCTTGTGATAAAAATATCATTCATGTTGCCATTTCGCTTTATGCGCCATTTTTTCAATATGGCGACCATAAATTTGACACAGTCCTGAACTTATAGGTTATGGGGTATCATTTTACAGGTATTTCGACATCCTAAATCCAATTTTGACAATAAAACAAATGAAGGAGCTTCCGTTTTTGTTTTTGGGCCATTTTTAAGAATGTCAGTTGCTATCAATAGCACGTGGGATATCATTTTCTCCTCCTAACATAATTTGGCAACGAGAAATAAATATATATGTACTATTTGTAGGTATCTCAAATTTTTTATGTGACGACATCTATTCTTGGCTGTTTAAACAATTAATTAGGAAGCGACACAACGTCCTTTTTTTTGTCAAAAGGAAAACGCAAGACATGGGCTGCATGGCAAAATATGAGGCTACTGAAGCCTTTAAATGCTTGGAAAGCAAAGACATAAAAAACATTGCTTTTCCATTAGTGCCACTACAAAAGTTCGTTGTTTGTTCATACGACCAGCACAACACGGAAACAGAAATTGACGAATCTCGCCAGGAACTTTTTTGTGCAGGTGGCCGTGACGTCAATATGCTTCCCCCCACTCTAGCAGCATTGACACAACACACGCTAAGGGCAGCGTACCAAGCTGGTCAAATTTGGGGTCGGGCTCTTGGTATTAATGAAGAATTGCCGAATCCAGTGAATTGGGGCTACATTAAGACATTGGGGTTTATTTGAAATCCGTGTTAATCTTTCACATGCAACTCAGTCGGTCGAAATATATGCGTCGACGAATTCTAAAAATTCACGATCGGCTTATTTGAAATCTTGTGCATTTTGTATTTGAATAGTGAATTTTTAAATTTACACTACTTAACTTGGCAACGTGTCCTGTAAAAGATTCTAACCAATGACATTGTTAGAAAATTTCATATGACCGAACCGAACGACCCATTGGAATGTCAAATTTGAAATTGTTTAACGTAAACAACATTTTTGATTGTTTCCGTGCATAAAGCACGCATAAAGTTTCGTGTTAAGTTGGAGTTTTTTCTTTTTTTTTTAAATATTACCTCAGTTTATTCTTTCCATAAGTGTAAGGCAATACCGCAAAAAAGATGGAAAGACGGGGGGGCAAGTGCCAATAAGAAAAGGTCCGGATTTGTTACCAAAAAACAACGAATTTTTGAACAAATATCCGGCTCTTTTGTCGGGAAAATTTTCGAACTCCTTTTCACGGAAGGAATCTCGAAATATTCTTTTGAAAGTCGAAAGTTTTTTAGAAATTCCCCGTCATTACCTAAGCACTGTTGATGCATGGATCTATTCTTGAATTTCTGAAGCCTTTGCGGTTATGGTTATACACTTCGGCCCTTTCTAGAGCATTTAAATTACCAATATTTTCGAATTCCATGGGGCCAAGAATATTATTTGTCGACTAAGACTAAACTGAAATGTTTAAGAAAATTTCGCGTGCAATTTGGAAATGCACGAGCTCTAGAGGTGACGCATGTCAAATGCAATCTTGCGTCGACGAATTTAGCGAAATGCGTCGACAAAAGTTTCAAATAAGCCACATGTGCATTTTTTTGAATTTCACCATTAAAAATTGAGACTTAGTCAGACGTATTTGAATTGCACGTTTCAAATAAACCCCCCCAGTAGACGGTTGGGCTCCCAATTGGACAGATCTTCCGGAGATATGGAAGTCTTCCAAAGATCTGAGAAAGTCCTGCTGCAAAATGGGATGTGTTAATTTGCGTTGCAGTTGCCGCCAAAACCACCTCTCCTGTACCACAGCATGTGGGAATTGTCGTGGAGCTTGTGAAAATCAAAGGTAAAAATATAATTGAGATTACTTCATAATCATATAGTAATTAACATTGAACTGCTATTTTTAGATCAGACCTTACTGAGCTGAAAGAATGAAGCAATTTAAATAAGCCAAAAATAACTAGAACATATTACAAAAGAAAGCAACTTTCAATATTATTTGTTACCAAAATTGGTTTAAATTGCTATATTATATTACCTATAATATGGTTTCAAGTATATTGTACCACACTGAAAGACGCCATATTCAAAATGGCCCTCCAAAATAAAAACGAAAGCTCCTACATTTGTCTTGTTGACAAAATTGGATTTAGGATTTCGAAATACCTATAAAATGATACCCCATAAGCTATGCTATAAGTTCAAGACTGTGTCAAATTTATGGTCGCCATATTAAAAAAATGGCACATTATAAAAGCGAAATGGCAACATGTATGATATTTTTATCACATAAATGGATTTCTCGACCCAAAATTAGTCGGAATCGAGGTATCACAAGTTATGGCTGGTTCGTTGGTTGTCTGGTTTAGATTTTTATGTTAGTTGGCAGCCATTTTGAATTAGAGCTACTGTAGTCGCCGGACGCCATTTTTGTTTGGACGAAAATTTTGGACGAAAGTTCTATTTAAAGTCAAAGAATATTCCTAATAGGTTTTTTTTTGAAAAATAAGCCATTTTACGATATTTCAAAAAATGAAGTCGGCCATTTTGAAAAAATAACGGAAACTCTCCTCCCCATGGAAATTTTTTTTGGGTACTCGACTAAAATCTCTTCAAATCGCCAATGTCGTTGCCAAATTTCATGCTTGTATACCTAATAGCCACATTTTTGCTTTATTAAGCCGTTATCCTCTGTACTACTAAAGCATTTTTAACCTGGTTGAACGGGGACACCCTGTATACCTGTACCTAATGCCTGAATTTTTTTGAATAGCTTTTCTGATAATAAACTTACCTACTGGAAAAACCATATCTGCCAATGCTTTTTTAGTTGTAATATAGGCCATTAGGTCCTAAGTTTGCTTATTAATGAGTTGAAATTATTTTCCAAAAGTAAACGTTTTTATTGGCATCCAGTTGAATTGCGAAGAAATCAACGAACTTAGAAGTTTTTTTAAATTTAAATAATTTACAGGGTGTCCCACGACGTTTTACCCAGGTGATAACTTCGAAACACGTCATCCAGTATAATTGAAATTTTGAGTATCTGGGTAACTGGTAACCAGTGTTGCCAATGACCCGATAATTATCGAATTCTACCATAATTTTGACTACGATTCAATAATCGATAATGACAAGCTAATCTACCATAATTTATTGAAATTACAATTTTAATACAAATTTTTCAAATTTTTAGTTAAAAATTAAAAATTAATTTAAAAAATTGAAGGTGATTGTTGGTTTTGAGTGTTTTGACGTACGTGCGAACACCAAACACTAGCCCCCAGAGTCCCAGTTAGAACCAGAAAAATGAAAATAGAGATAAAAAGTCAAAAAAGTTGACAGAAACTTTTTCTGATAATTTTTCTTGGAATCTGATAATTTTGTTCTCAAATCCTGATAATTTTAAATTTGACATCTGGCAACACTGCTGGTAGCTTTTTGTTCCGCTTCTACATGTGTCATCCAGATTCACCACTTCCGCTTCAGGACCCTCGCATTTCCAGTGCAACGCTCTACCAACTGAGCTACCAAGACCTGTTTCATTTCTACCTTGAGGGTCAAGTCTTTCATCAATTTTAAGTTGTTAGTTGTGAAGACCAACAGCAACCTTCGGCGGTTATCGTTGGTATGGGAGTGAGTTAGAAGGTATAAGGAGAACAAAATCGCAATTAATGACTGTTTTGGAATCCATTATCCCTTCAATCACGGATGCGTCGTCGACATATAGCGACTTCAGCAGGTATCGGGATGGGACACCCCGGAAATGCAAGGGTCCTGAGTTCAAATCCTAGTCGAGGCAAGAAAATATTTCATCAATTTTAATT